CCCCAAAACCCCAAAACCCCAAAACCCCATGAGACAAAATAAAGGATAAAAGATAAATTACAAGGTATAATCGAAGATCTATTAGGTTACTTTAAGTGCTAAGCATTTTAGATGCTTTATTACTCGATACTATTCATTCCCAGTTTCCAAAAGGAGTGTTCTTTTCTTTCGAACTATCTCTCCCAGCCCATATAGTTGCTATGATAAGGAAGGCGTTTCCTGCCCAAGATGGAATATTTTGTAAATTAAGTCTCTCCCCTAAGATAAAGTTATCCAAGCAAATCAAAGTTGCACCAGTAAGCCCAAGTAAAAAAGGCTTGTAGAAGCAAGATCTCTTTTCTCTATACAAAGTCCAAACACTGTATGAGAGGAGTAAAAAGCATAAAGGTACTAGATAAGTAGTAATAGCTGTCATCGAAACTCCAAATGCAGCTAAATTTGATGCAATTGTATTTGAGTAAATAGTGAAGCATTGACCATTTGCACATAATGTAGTTGTGGTTTATGTCATTGCATTGAATAATGTAGTAAGTCCTGTACTTGAGAATAAACTAGCACCCACACCGTGCTCAAGATCATCACTAGTTTTAGCAGACCTCTCAATAATCAATTTACGTGTCTTATAATTCTGATAAATTTATAGTATAAATGCAACTTCGATGGCAATAGCAGCAGGCAATATTTAGATCTTATCAAAGTCATCTGAAGTTTTAACATAGAGATCTAGCTGACCAGACATGAAATACAATCCAAAGTATGACATTAGATTGATGAAAACTTTGATCAGTAGTTTAGCTTGCTTCCTCGTCAAAATACTACCATCATCAACTTGATCCTCAATATGCATGAATTGAATGAATTTCAGCAGATTTCCAAGCAAAGTTATCACAAAGAATGCCATCATTGGAATTAGAATGCTGAAGTATGATGTTGTTATATAAGCGTTCTCAGAGTACAGTTTGAGAAAGAATAAGTTAGCTGTTATGAATGCAAACTCTATTGCATAAGTGGGTGGCTTCATATTCTTCAAATTTTTATTATTCCCCATAACTTACTTGCTTTAAACCTTAAATAATCTATTATTGATTTTATTGTTTATTCTCGTTGATATTTGTGAATTTAAATAGTTGGGGTTTTGGGGTTTTGGGGGAATGATCACGTTTGCTTAGC